TGAGACATTGACCGTTTTGATTCTGATCGGGCAGGATTGGAGTTATACTTGGGTATACAGAATGGATCCTGCTATGGATCAGTTGTGGGGAGCTTGATCTAGGTATGTGCCTGGCCGAACATTTTCCGTCTACAGGGCGATTGCCTGGTTCGGGGGAAATAAGCATGGAGACCATGCCATATCGCATTGCTCCATAGCAAGCTTCCATTTGGGGCAGATTCCTACTCGAGTGGGGTTTGTCCTTGATTTCTCGTTCCTTGATTTCTCCAGGCTCTTCATCTTTTGACTTTACACGGAAGCCCAGACACCCGCTATTGGCCAGCTTGCCAGGCACCCGGGACACCGTGGGAAGCGTCCGACCCATCCTTATTCGTGCCCGGCCGTGCAGAGCCGATCAGCCACACCCCAGCTGCCGCTGCCGATCGTCTTGCGGAATGTCACAGGCTACTAACTACACTAACCACTAACCAGTTAACCGCCTGCGTTCCACGTGGGTGCGACTCCAAGGTTAGTCTAGACCAGGAGTCAGCGGGCTCGCGAATTCAATTGACTCTTTCCGAGACGGAAGACGGAGTAGACATCTGCCAACTTCAAGGCCTGACGGGTTCCTGGTGGAAAAATGGCACGACTAGAACTTTTCGAGAGTGCCTTACCAGATTGCTTCGCCCCGTCATGACATCAGCCTACGAAGCTCAATTTCGCTTGTGGTGTTTCTACGAATCAAGCCTAATTTTAGTGGCTGGGATAAGCTGAAGCCGATGCAGTGCACAGGCAGCAGAATTGTATACTATTGACATCCTGCATTGTAGGCGTATTCGACGAAGTTTGGGACTGACGTATGCAATGGCGTCGCAGAAGCTGCAGCGACAGCACAAGGAGTGGAGGCAGACACTGTAACGGAGCTGCCGCTCTAACTAGCAGGGCGGCCGCAGCGTCGGATGATTTCCTGTCCATCTCCACTGACACCGCAAGCATCATACCTCGTGCGATGGCCTCGTCTGATGCGGTCGAGTCCGGTCATGTTTGGTGTCGTTTGAACGGCCGAAAGACAGCTCTACGCATGAGGTAGAGAACCGGAAAGGGATCCGTGGCATTTTCAGGCCCATCCAGGTACGTGTGCAGCATCTTTTGTCTTGTATACTCGTCTCAGGTTAGAAATCCGTGGCTGGAAGTTATCTCACAACCCGGCCTCCACATGGGGGCCAGATCCCTAAGGTTGTCACCTTGTGACTCCTGGGATCCGCCACCAGCCCCACCAACCAATCCGAACAAAGAACGCGGGTAATCTAACGAAAGTTACTGGTATTGATTTGTATGATTCCAAGCAGGAAGGCGCGATCGGGCCAATCAAAGCCCCACTCCCAGCCACATCACCCGCCCAACCTCCCCTTTTACGGCCGGCCCCACCCGTTTTCGCCACCCAATCAGTGCGCGCGTTGCTTATCGATAAGCCGAGATCCTCCAGCTCCCAGAACTATGCCCGTCCTCCCTCCCTTTCTCCCCTCCCTGCACTCTTTTCTGCAAAACAACTTCACGCGAAACGAACTGGTCTCTCGTTACTATTACTGCTCTACCTTGCTGCTCCACATTTGAAAAACAAAACCATCCAACCAACGCTCATCTGTCCTTCGTTACTCTCCTTCACGCTCTCTGTCAACCCACCCCTACCGAACTGCGTCTTGTCACTCCTTCATTATATTCCTCCCTAGGATAGTCTAGCAACATGATGGACGCCAGAGTCCCCAAGCGGGGCTTAATGGCAATGGCTCACACTGCTCATGCAGCGGGCATCTTTGCGGATATGTCCGTGGATGGCCCAATTATTGGCACGTTGGTGGTCGTCGCCGACCGCGCCAAAAACCTCCCAAACAGAAAAACAATGGGCAAGCAGAACCCGTACTGTGCTGCGCGCCTTGGAAAAGAAGCAAAAAAGACTGGTACAGACCTGCGAGGTGGTCAAACACCCAAATGGTATGTATCTTGCCACCATCTGAACTTGGACGTCATATAGACGAAGCTAACTGACGTAGGGATGATGAACTTCGCTTCAACGTACACGAATCTCCAGACTACTACAGATTGAAAGTATCTGTTTTCAACGATGAGAAAAAGACCGACCTCATTGGAGAAACATGGGTCGATCTGAGTGATCTGATCATTCCGGGCGGCAGTCAAAACGACCACTGGCATCCCTTGCAATACCGTGGAAAATACGCTGGCGAAGTCCGGCTTGAAATGACCTACTATGATACACGACCCGAAGATGAAGCGGTGATCGAAAGAAGAACGCCCGCCTCTGACAAGGTCCACCCAAGGAAGATTGCATCCTTCAGCTCAGGTCCCGCGGCGCCTAGCCCTGGTACCCTCTCTGGTCCCAGGCAGTTGAAAGATGTCAAAAGACGGCCACTTCCTTCAGATCCTCGCCCGAGATCTTCGGCGCACTCAAGCACATCGAGCAGCTCACCGGTTCGTGCTAATGAGAGCACGAACCCGGCTCCAACCCTCCACCACCACAGTCACAGCCATCATCAAGACCTCAGACAGCCAAGAGTGGATAATAGCAGCTCTGGAATGAGTGATAGCACCACCTCGCTCCCTACATACAACCATAGAGAATACGCAAGCCCGCAACGACTGGAAGGTAACAGTATGGTCGTTGCCAATCCCACGGGATCCTACCACACGAATCCCTGTCCCTATCCTATCAATCCTTCAGACAGCGGTTCAGGTGCCACACATAGCACGACTTCATTGCCAACTTATCAGAATCATGAATACTCAAGGCCTCATGTTGAGCATAGCAACCCACCGATGAGCGACAGCTCCAGCTTGCTTCCACTCCTTCCAAACCCTCACCGAGTTGAGTACGCTAGCCAGGCACCGCCTCACAGTAGCAGCAACTCACTCGTCGGCAATGCCACGAGCTCGTACAATACAAGTTCATGTCCGTCTTATCATGCGGAGTACACAAAAATACCAGATAGCAGTTCGTTTGCCTCGACGAACTCGAGTGCACAACAGCCGGCCTACGGGCATTATCGTGAATATGCACAGATTGGATATACGCCCCCACTTCTCACCGACAGTCAGCCTTCTTCCCTGTCATACGCGATGATGCAACCCCGTGTTGAGGATGAAGAAGAAGACGGACTTCCACCCCCTCCACCCGCTCATCGCTCAGGACTGGTTCCCTCCAACCAACCAGTGCCAGTGGCGCCGAACCCTGCCCCTCAGGCGTACACGCAACCTGCCCCTCAGACGTATATGCAACCGGCTCCTCAGGCGTACACACAACCAGCTCCTCTGCCGCAGGTTACCATGCCCGAGCCGATGGAAAAGCCTGCTTCGGACAACAGTCTGCATACGACCCCGTCGTGGGATCCCAATTGGGATTACCCCAGAGGCAGACGTGAGGAAACTGCCGTGGCCACAACAAACGCAGTGCCAGCAAGTCTGGTTCCTGGATTTGATCCGGTAGTTGCAGCAGCCGAATCGGATCGCGCGGCGTATGAGCGAGAAGTCAGACGAAGGAGCGGTAATTTCGATGAAAATCCGCTGCAAATGGTTCATCAGCCAGCTGATAATAGGAGACATTCTCGTGGTCTCTATGACGAGAATCCTCTGAAGAAACCTGTCGATACTCGGTCACTTGTGAGCCGAACTTCGACAGCTCCCAATAATCAGCTTGTCCCTAGAAGAAAATCAGTCAGCCCCCGACCCCCATCGATGAGGGGCCGAGAGGTGTCTCCTGTTCCGTTTTCTCCCGATTCCTATCTTCCTGAAGCGGCGCGAGAGCCAGCAGCGCGAGAGTCAGGCCCCATTATCGGGGATGATGGTCGGGAAATTGATCCTTCTGACCATTTGCCTACAAATACTTGGGCCCCAGAGCCCGAACGAAAAACCAAAAAGCCGGGAGTTGTTGTGCGTTTCCGCAGCCCCGTTCATCGAGACAGTCCTCCCAAGGACTACGGACATCGCAAGTCCATGTCCGAAGCATACTCTAATTCTCCGTCGAGGCTATATGCCGAGGCAAACAACCCCCCTATACCATCTAAGGTGCCTGTTGGGTTACCAACAAAAAGTTATGGAAACATTGATCAAAGCTACGATGCTCTGAGCCGAGAGCTCAATACGATAGATATTGGAGGATCTGGTCGAGGCATGAAAAGATATGCCCTTAGTTACGTGTCTTAGATAGATACTTTTGTCTTTGCGTTATGGACAGCGATGTGCTGCATCTTTTTTCTCTAGATAGGATGTTTTTCTTTTCTTCTTGTCTCTGGCAGGTTCAAGTGTTTGCTTTAGATAGCTTTTTGTCATGTCTTTTCTTTCGGTTTAGGTAGCTTTTCATTCTTATGTCAGATAGCTAGCTATCTTTATGATACCAATGTTACTCATCAAAAGTCTTCACTCTGTCTGAAGGAAGCGATACGCGAACACTGGTAGTATCGAACCAGCTTATATAATTATCTACAAACAGCCACGCCCAGTGACTTCATATGAACAGCTGGTACAGTAAACACACCTTAGCGTGGAGTAGACCTACGAGTAATCAATAAACAACCACAGCGTAGTTCAAAACTAATCCCAGTCACTATACCCCGTACAGGCAATTGAACCCCCTCTGAGCCAATACCTACGCAAAACTAGCAACAAACCTGGATAAAAGCAATTCTAGAACCCCAATGGAAGACTCGAAGGGCCAAGACCCGCAATGAATGAGACCATCACGAACCAATAGGGAAGGAACCATGATTCAGATTGACTTCATTATGAACCATTGATTGACATTGAACCCGTGCGGAGAACCCATACATTTTCTCTTATTTGTTTGGTGGGGACGGAATGATCACAGAGATAGTTACTGTTATAGGGGGGTAGGGGATGACATCACAGTTGTTGCCACTGGACTAGGGGGGTAAGGTGTAGGTATAAGGGGGATTCTTCGGTCGAGGACAATGCCTATTGTTTGATTAAAACTATGAAGGTTATTTTATTCTATAAGAAATATATCATTGTCAATTGATTGAATCTGTTTGAATATACTCGGATATCATCTTTTATACAACCACCACAACACCACACAACAACAAACAAACAAAATGTCCTACCGCACCACCTCCAGCTCCTCCTCCGCCTACTCTTCCTACTCCTCTTCCACCTCTAACGACAACAACAACCCTCAAACCGAATCGACCGGCCACCGCTACGCCACCACCTCACACACCGACCCCACTGGGGCTACTACCGTCCGCACTGGATACCAGAATCTAGGCGAGGAGCCGGTTTTCGAGGAACGGAGATTCGATTCAGCGGGTCGGGAGGGCGCGTTGTTGGATACTCAGGGTGGAATGGGTGCTGCGGGGGGAACTAGGGCTATTAGGGAGTTGGATGAGGATGATGATGAGGGGGAGTGGGAGGATGGGACTTATTAATTAAAAGTCCTTCCCTGGCTTATTTGAGTGTATGTAAGGACTTCATGTCTGGTTCGATGATAATGGTAATGGTAATAAAATGTGATCATATGATAGCCCGAAATATTGAGTAGCATGATTGTACATACATTGTGTTATTGTTGATTGCTGGGATAGTTGGTGATGGGTTATATCTGTACCGTGTCGAGCTGTTTAAGCTAGGCGTGAATGTCTGGGCCGTAGTCTAGGTCGTCGGTTAGATTGGGTATATCATATGTCGGTTGGTTAGCATGATTACTTTATTGAATGGGATTGTACTTGGTAAATAAACACATTGTGGATGTCACACAGAGAGAGGGAATGTTCGTAAGATGCAGGTTAGGGAACTCAATGATGATGGGAATGGTGAGAACTTAGAAGTATTTGAGCTACAATGTAGACTCTTGCTAGTGCTTACTTGCTTCTTCGGGCTGCGGAAGACGGATCGATCGCATCGCAGTACTTTTGCGAAGAGAATGGTACTTGTATAAAGATCAGAAACGAACTGTAATTCAATGAGAGTGAAAAAATGGATATAATAGTTAGAAATGCATTAGTATTTAAATATGTATCATCTTGATTTATCAACAAAAGAGAGAGGTTCTGGCTGAGTCCGACATAGAGGCTTCTGCAATGTTCGTGCCGTGATACACCATGTCAAATAATCTATTCCAACCACGCCTCGATAGCAAATCGCAGGTTCTCCTGCAACCACTCCTCATCTCCTGTAGTCTCGCTTTCAAAGCCATGACCCCCTGGCCGCAGTGCCAAAACAATCTTATCCCCTCCCGGCTTCCCATCCATCACTTTCCTTGCCTTGTCCACGAAGGCTTGACTATCCTCCGGAGGCAAGATGTCATCTTCCAGGCCATGTCGGATAGAGATACCTCCACGGGGGAACTTGACGTCCGGCTCATCCAGCCGTTCCATAGGGTGCCGCAATGCCCGCCGGGGGTCTTTCTCAGTTCCACGTTCGTAGAGTTCATAGAGGCGTGCAACCTCAACAATGGCAAGCATTAAAGGCAATCGCTCAGGCGGCGTAATCGATGATTGGACTACTCCCTTTTCACTATCTCTGATCGCTTCATCGACAACACGGTTTGCCTCTTCCAGAGACAGACCGCTCAAACGAGGTGGGTCCTTCCGTGCGGAAACATCCTCGACAGGAGCACTGAGAAAGCCAGGAAAGCTTGCTGTTGCAGCCCGGATCTCCTCTGGGTGCGCCAGGGCGTGACAGATGCTGAGTGTGCCCCCGGCGGATTCACCGGCAGTAATGATGCGATCCAGGTCGAGTTCTGTTGGATTAGGCTGGGATGAGAGAAGTTCCGACGCTGCGGGCGAATGCAGCCAGATCCAGAAATCCTCAATGTCGTCGAACAGGTCAAGGGTGGTGGCCTCGGGAAGGAGGCGGTAGTTCGGAGACACGATCACCGCGTTGTGCTGTTTCGCGATGTCGAAGAGGTATTGGGGGAACCATTCAAAGAAGAGCGCGTCTCCGGTAAGCTACTGCAGGTTAGTATCGTACGTATTGATGGTGCTTGTCTAGTGAGTGGGCCACTTACGAAACCCCCGCCATGGAAATGGATGATAACTGGCCGCTTGCCGGTGTAGTTTGACTGGGGAATGATGAAATCGGCGCGGATGTTGTGATCGCCGACTGTTTTATAGTTGGTTTGGACCAAGTCAAAGCCGGCCAATCTCTTCTGCGCCAAGGGTGACTGCATTTTTGTCAGGGTTTCAAGTCAAAGTTGTTATTGTATAATTGAGAGGATAATGAAATACATAGAAGCATCATTCTGGCAGGAAATTGACCCAGTTTATGGTCTGTCCAAGATCACATTGTTGAATGGCCATGTCGGACATCGCACGGATCAGCCGCTCTTCACGATGATATTTGTCTGGTTTGCTCTGTTTGTTGGAGAAGAACCTAGCATGTGATTGGCTATTTACTTAGTTGGTATGGGGTGCTTGTTTGCATGGATAACCTCAGATGCAAACATATTACAAATCTCATTTTTTTGCGCTCAGATTCTCGGGTTTGACAATGAGACCGAATCTGGGCATTGCTTGATTTCTACTCTGGACCCAAAGTAAGCATTGATCTTCGAGGATTTTGCTAAGCAATAGTATGACAGGTGGAATATTTCCCATATCCTTGCTACTTCTATCCCAAGTATCCCAAGCAAAGGAGATAATGCTCGGAGACCGGGCGCACGGGCACCCACGCCCGGCGACATCCCCTCGGGTTTGATAGTGAGACCGAAGCTGGAGTCTTACTCTACCTCTGTTCTCATGTAAGGAAAATACTCAGTGCAAGGGATTCTGATTATGATTTATCTGACAGGTTGCCTCTTGCTCAGCTCTAGTATTACTAAAGGGAATAGGTACGTGAACACTCACGTTAGATTCATACAAATTGAATCCTAATACTCAATGAGATTATCTATATAAATACTAAGTTTGTAAGAAAAAACTAACACTAATCTTCAACTAAATAAAGGCTCCATGGACACTCTATAATCGATGATTTAGTCATCAGACTTCTCTGAACAGTGCTTGCAAGTATATAAACTCAGGAATACAATCTGATGTGACTGTTACTATAAGGGAGTACTTCAATATATAAAATAGGTAGAGTATCAATTCTTAGTTGCAGGATGATTCGACCGAGTTATTTGCTACTAAGTAATTCGATTAAATTACCGCTGAATAAACGCCTACCAGCAGCACCGGAACAAATTATTCATGCCTAGGGTGTATTTCCACTGACTTGTGTCTGCCAAGTCCTTCGCCAGTTCCCACTCTAATATATTTGCAGCTATGTGATCTCCTGCTTACCTCTGCTAACCCTAAAGCAAAGGAAATAATGATCGGAGACTGGGCGTGTGGGGATGTAGATTCCCCCACACCTGCTGACGCGGACTTAAGCGGACTTAAGTGGACACACACTAATATTTGACATCATGAGCTTTACTGCAATAGATATAATTGAGTTTCCCCATAGACCAAAACTCGTTGTCTCCATTACCAAACTCCTCAACCAGACAAAATGTCCTCCAGCAGCTACAACTACAACAAACTCGCGGGCAAGCATGTCCTGATTTTCGGAGGTACTTCTGGCATAGGCCTGGGAGTGGCCAAACTATCACTAGCCGCATCAGCAAGAGTCACCGTGTCTTCATCCTCAAGCAAACGCATTGAATCTACCATCCAAGATCTCAAGACAGAATTTCCAAGTGCCCAGATCCAAGGACACGTCTGCGATCTTTCCAAAGACACGATCGAAGAAGACCTCGAGGCGCTCTTCCAAAAGACCAACCAAGTTGACCACATTGTCTTCACCGCCACCGATGCGCCAGCCATCATGCCCGTGCAGGAAATCACTCGGGAGAAGCTCATCGCTGCCGGTCAAGTGCGCTTTTTCGCGGCCGTTCTCGTTGCTAAAATTGGCTCTCGATATCTCTCCCCGGGTCCCGAGTCATCAATCACCTTGACGACAGGAACCAATTGGGAACGCCCGATGGCCAATTGGTCCGCGGTAGCTGGATACTTGGGTGGTACTTGCAGTGTTGCACGTAATCTGGCGGTTGATCTGAAGCCGATACGTGTCAACGCTGTGAGTCCTGGACTGGTGAGAACTCCGCTATGGAATGATCTGATGAATGAAGAGGAGCAGGAAAATCTACGCCAATTTGCTGCAGCGAAGAATCCGACGGGAAGGGTCGGTCTACCGGAAGAAGTGGCAGAGGCTTATATATATCTGATGAAGGATGCGAACGTTACTGGACGGATTGTGAGTTCGGATTCGGGTGCTTTGCTTGTGTGAGTGTATCAGCAGCAGCACTGTCTAAATGGAGTTTAAATGGCACTTATTTTGGCATAGAATGCCACAGCTTGCTATGGAATTTATTACAGACATACAATTGAAGCCCGTTATAGTGATTGCCTCAATAAAAGGTTGTCACGTAATGGCTCCCTGATATCAGTATCTCGGTTCCTTCACCATAATTCCCACATACGTAGTAATAAGACCAAGAAGATTATAAATACAAATAAACTAGGCCTTTATCAACTCGCCCATAATTCTCTCCAGCACCTGACCGGTCTCATAAGTGCAGGCAACTAACTTAACAACACTACTCCGACACAGGGCGCAGACACGCAAAATTCAAGACCAAAAAGAAAAGCCAACCGTCCAATAACCACCAACGAGCTATAAGCGAGAAGCAAACCGTACTACAAATTAGGCACACATGGTCGAATTGCCTCTTATATACTACCCGACATTACATTCCAGGCTAGGAGCCGCCGCCTCATTGATCGCAAATCTAAACACGACCCTGGTTGAATTGGGGTCATTTACGTCCATATGCACATTACCTCATGATCCGAACGGCTGTGTCACTGTGTCACTTTTTGATGATGTTTCAGTCGTTTAATTTTCTCTTGTGCGCGTATATACCCCTACACTGCCCCGTCCGTCATGATAGCCGGGTTTGCAATCCCCCAGACAGATTGAATTTGTATATTCCTTCCGTATATGCCTAACGTCATGCAGATACGAGTTGGTCAATTGACCAAGTACTGAGTACCGAGAACTAGGCAGATACATGACTGGAACCGAGCCAGAACTGAACATGGACTATCATTAGTGACAAATAACTTATATATAGGACCGTAATCTACTTCCATATCATCAGATACAACCCACCCTAGGGAGTCTTCAAACAAACACCAGATAGTTAAATCTACTTACCACCTTATCATAACTACTGCCTACTATCTACCTACCAAAATGAACCTCCTCACCACCCTCTCCCTTCTCCTCCCTTTCACCCTCGCCCACCCAACCAACCCCCTAACCGCCGCCCTGGACATTGCCCACGACGCCACCCAATCCGCTGCCAATATCATCTCCTCCACCCCAAATATCATCACCTCCTCTGCGCCCTACAACCTCGTCTCCGACCTCTGCACCCCAACAGGCGCAAACTACTGCAACCTCGGCATCGCCACGTACGCTCCTAACGGCCGGGTCCAGCTGCGCGAGACCTACGTCTACGATCGCTCCTGTAGGGGAATTGGGGCTCTGCCGCAGAGTCTCGATACGGGCCATTGGTCCCTGCATTCGTTGCTGCCGTGGACGGTGGAAGTTGATGTTAAGGGCGGTGGGAATAAGCCGGAGGGCGATGCTTGGTATGCCGGACGGAAAATCGATTTGGGGAAGAAGATGGCGTGTAAGGATTGTGCGGGGGGCTTGAAGGATTGGCAGTGTTGTAGGGTGGCGTTTGATTGTCGGTAGATGACTATCTTAGGTTAGTGGCAACTAGCTGGAGGAGGAGAGGAGAGTGATGATGGTCTCTTTCGGGTTTGAATGTTTTTGTCTTGTTTGCGGGAATTGATGATTTTGGGTCAGTCATGAATTCGATGAGAAGATTATGTTAAAGGAAGAGTGTGATTGTGTGTGTAGAAAAGGGGTTAATGGAAGTGGAGAATAATGGTCTCTTTTATAGGTAGTATGATTTTGGGACGGACGTACTGCTCCGTCTGCTGTCCGATATGTCGTTTCTGGCCTTACAGTCAGCATTTGACATATGATGTGGTCTATTCCGATTAGTACCGTAATGGCCAGCCTGATTGCAGATGACTACCTACATTAGCCCTTTCCTACAACACAGAAAGCTTCGGCAGCTGAATGGCTCATGTCCTTGATTGAAGCACATGCTAGGCCACTATAACTACCGAGTTAAGGGTCCAGGATCCATCACACCAGCTCCACCCGACCAAAGCCCCCGCTTCCTATTTAAAGGCTAGGAAGGCACTGGTGTCTTGAAAACGTGTCAGGAAGAGTTCCCACCTTATCCCCATTTGTCTCATCATGGCCATTGCGAGTTCCACCTCTGCCGCCCCGAAAGGCAACGCTTTCGTTGGAACCGAAGGGATTTATAACCTCCCGCACCATAAACGGGAGATCGACCGTCTCCAACGGCAGCACAACTTCATTCTGTCGTCCACAGGAGGCCTTCTCCTGAGCATGCCTGTGGAGACCAATGCTGCACTGAGGATTCTGGATGCTGGTGCAGCGGATGGTAAGTGGAACGGAGGGAGCCCTTTTAGCGTCAAGATAACTCCGTTGACTCATGATGCTGGAGTAGGAACCTGGCTTCGTTCTCTAGCACAGCACTATCCCAATCAGAAATGGTCCCTTCATGGCATCGACATTGGCTCCGCGCTTTTCCCGCCCCCATCTGCAGACGGTCCGATTGTGGATCTTCAGAAGCATGATATCCGGGAGCCAATTCCAAAGCATCTGCACCTACCAGAAAGCTTCGACATCGTTCATCAACGTTATCTTATATGGGGCCTGAAAAGCTCGGAATGGCCACAGGCCGTGGGAAACTTGCGTTCAGTGTTGAAGCCTGGAGGCTGGATTCAGCTCGTGGAAGCCCAATGGGTAGATCGTGACACACCATTTGACCCTGTTAAGTTCCCTACCCTTGCCAAGATGTCGGAGTTCGAAAAGTGGAGCACTGCTGCTTTTGGGATGAATGCTTATATTGCTTATGAACTGGAGGATTTGCTCAGCGACCTGGGGTTTAGGAACATTAAGAAAACATCGTTCGCTTTGGGGTATGGTGCAATGGCTAGAGAGGAGCAGTGGAAAGTGGCCTCTGCTCATATATTGGTGGAAGGATTCCGCAGCCTCGGGCATAAAATGCCCCCTGGCGGTATCCCTGGGGTGGCAAGAACCCCGGCTGAGTACGATGCTTTCTTGGACGAATTGCGGGACGACGTGATAAAGCATGGATATGCGCCGCAGCTGAATATTGTCATTGGGCAGAAGCCCTCGGAACTGGCTTTAGCCTCACTCTGAGTGCACAGGCGCTGATTTTGTCTGGACAAGGTACATGATGTGGGTTCGTGCGTTGGACCATATATTGTAATGTGTTTATTCTTGAGTGTTTTGGTTGAAATGCTATAACTGTACTTCGTATACCAAGCATGATAATCACCAGAGATGTAAAGTAGCCAACGATAGCGCCAGCGTCGTGGCGAGTAAACAGGAAGCTTATAAGCGGGTGGGGAGAGGTTGGACGGGAGGGTGAGGAGCGAGCATGTGCAGGTGGTACGAGGGAGCTAGGGCCTCAACTCCTTTACCATACTTCTGAGGCCGTCTATGTGTTTTCCCCTGCCCCGGCCACGCAAGGGGGCGGGGTGTGGATCCACCTGAACCTGCGACCAGCTCCACTGGCTCAGGCAGACAAGGCTGCCTGGTTTGGTAGCCAAAATCATACATGATATATGCGTCCGGAGTCGTTCCGCAATAGCTAGGCTAGAGGCCCATGCTGTGTAGTGACCAGGCGCATTCTGTGTGAGATAAAGGCACACCTCCACAAATCTGTGTCGGAGATCAACTGTTGCACGAGGGCGGTATAATACTGATTACAATGACGGGACCTTGTCCATTCGAGCACACTGAGCCTCACAAGTGTGATAAGGCTACAGGCATGCTTGCTGCATGCATAAGAGGCGAATTGCTTTGAGACCGCACCAATCATGCAGGTTATATGATGATGTTCCCAATGTATTTGCATATGTACCGTGAGGTGGCTGCTCTCATCAAGATTATTCAAGGCTACAGCGTCGCTGCCTACCATCATTATTCGAGGCTCTTCTATTTGCCCTCTCAAAGGATACAGCAATATAGACCTGAAAGAATGGCTCCCCATTCTATAAGTATCTCCGACAGCCTCGCCCGAAAGTAAGTTTGTTCATCAGGCTCTTCATTTCTTTGTTTACCTAAAAAAAATTCATTAGTTGACAGCAACATGGGAGAACAGCCAGGCCTAACAGAGAAGGAAATCGACGCGGAGAACACCATTGAGGAGCCGACCCCTACAGCCAAGGAAGAATGCGGTGATCCAAAAACCGCTGAAGAAGACCAACAAAAGACGACGGGAGCGGACTCCAGCTCTGAAGAATGGCAACACCTTGATAATACTGTCCCCGACGAGGCATCTTCTTCGCTTGGTTGTCCTGCGAATAAAGACCTAGAGGGCACTATACCAGATGACTCCCAGAAAGGCTTGGTGGAAGAGAGTACCAATACGGATAACACGCCAACATGCAGCGATACAACAAAGGAAGGAAGCCAACTAGGTGATGACGACGTCATTGAAACACATGTTGACGAAAGTGGACCAACAGTCACAAGTTTGTCTTGCGAAAGCAAAGACGTCGACCAGAGCAATTCAACTTCTAATCACGAAAAACTTGACAAAGAGGTGAACTTATCTGATGGCAACGAGAAGGGGACCAATGCAGAAGGAGAAGACAGCGAAACTCACGAACCCGAATACACTAACGTCGACGACAACCAAGTCGATGGCCCATCTGACAACCAAGCTTACAAGATCAACGAGAATGTTGGCAACACAATGAATGGCGACCAAGTCGATGAAGAAATTGCCGAAGGAACGAACGATAACGGGATTCGTCATAACAGTGAGGGGGAGAGTAGTGATACTCAAAATGACGGATATAACGGTGAAGAAGACAACAGCCAGCGCGATGACGATGACGAAGACACCAAGTCTGTCTCCAGCACAGATAGCAACTACTTTTTCAAAACATGGAGGTATTTACCAGAAGACGAAGACATTGCTGAAGGGAATGAGATGGACCTGAAGTTTGATGATCAAGCCATTGAAGACCTTGAAGCCAACGTGAACGACATGGACGATGAATCGCCCTCCCGCTTGGAATGGCTTAGACAGAAACGGCTGCTAGCTGGGCTGCAGCTATCCAAGAATGAACAGCGCCTTGAACGGTTGATGGATCGTGTACTGTGTCTGATTGGCCAGGAGAATATCAAGGCTCAATTTCTGGCCCTTAAAGCCAGAATTGAAGCAGATAAGGCGCGGGGCGAAGACTTCAAAAATGCCCATCATGACATAATGATCACTGGAAGCATAGGAACCGGTCAGTTTATTTCCGGAATTGCGTGAATATTCACTGAAGAGCATAGGAAAAACAATCGTGGCCAAGCTCTATGCGGAGTTCCTTGCTTGTTTTGGTCTTGCGGCGAGGAGTATCAGCCATTATTCAGGGTTCCACGTGGCATGCAAAAAATTCCGCCGTTGGCTCCCGTCAGAAGGAGTATGCTTAGTATTCCCTTTTCTCGAAAGGGCCATATATATACTAAAATATTTCAGGTCATGTTCATTAACCGAGCCGACCAGCTTACAACACATCCAACAGTGACGGACGAGTTTCTCACTTTCATGCGGAACTATGATGGAGATATTGTGGTCATTCTGATCGGACCGCACAAAGGGTTCAGTGACACCGGAGCGTCTCGCCTCTTCACCATGAAATTGGCTCTCGAGGACCATTCTGATGAAGAAATCCACCGCCTGTTGGTTCGTATATTGAAAAAGGCTAAATTGCACGTTGAAGGGGGTTGGGGTGGACCGTATCTGAAGATCCTGACTCGTCGAATTTGTCGTACACGATCAGAAAACGGCTTTGATAATATTCTTGCTTTGCGCACTGTTTTGGAACTGGTGATGAATCGTCAAGGTTTGCGACTCCGCCAGTCATTAGGAGACACGGCAGCCAGGCGCGCGAAAGAACCCAACTATAACTATCTGACAAAACTCGATCTTCTCGGACCAGAGCCAGTGAACAAACTCAGAGACAGCGAGGCCTGGAAGCAACTGCAAGACATGATCGGGTTCCAGGAGGTCAAAGAGATGGTCGATGAACTGGTGCATCAAGCAAACACCAATCATCACCGTGAGCTTCAAGGCCTACCTCCACTTGATATACGCTTGAACAAGGTGTTCTTAGGCCCTCCAGGTACTGGAAAAACCACAGTCGCCAAGCTATATGGGCAGATTATTACCGAAATCGGTCTCGTCTCTGGTGATGAGGTTGTGGTGAAAGACCCATCTGATTTCATTGGGCAATATATCGGCGACTCGGAAGCAAACACCAAGGAAATACTCCGTGCTACTGAGGGCAAGGTTCTCATCATTGATGATGCGCATATGCTGTATCAGGGAACTGGGCATGGGGCTAATTGCTCAGATTCGTTCCGGCTCGCTGTTGTGGATACGCTAGTTACAAATACTTCGAATGAACCCGGCGATGACCGTTGTATTATCCTCATTGGTTATCCGGACCCGATGAAGGAGTTCTTCAACAACAGTAACCCGGGGTTACGACGTCGATTTCCATTAGAAGAGGCTTTTCACTTTGAAGACTACTCAGTCGATCAGCTTGCCATGATTCTTGACCTGAAAATGTCGCATGATGAAATAGAGGCTACCGACCAGGCCAGAAAAGTTGCCCTAGAAGTTCTTGCGAGGGCTCGAGACCGGCCCAACTTCGGAAATGGAGGTGATGTCGAGAATTTGCTTGGCAAAGCAAAAGCGGCCTTTTACAAGAGAGTGAAGGGTGTTAGGAACCGAAAGGAAAAGAAGATCGAGGCCTCCGATTTTGACCCAGAGCATGATAGGGCCTTCAATGGTAGCAAGGCATGTGATTCACTCCTCTCATCAATGATCGGCATGGACAGTATCATCTCCCTTTTCAGAAGTTATCAAAAGGTATCGTCCGGAATGCGATCGCAGGGGATTGATCCGCGTCCATATATCCCATTCGCGTTTGTCTTCAAGGGCCCACCAGGGACTGGAAAAACTACTACAGCTCGCATTCTTGGTGATATATTCTACGAAATGGGATTCCTCTCCACCTCCGAAGTCATTGATTGCTCTGCGACAGATTTGATAGGCGAGTATGTAGGGCAAACAGGACCCAAGGTGATCAATCTTCTGGAGCGGGCTTTGGGAAAGGTACTATTTATCGACGAAGCTTATCGGCTAGCGGGAAAGTCCACTGGCAACTGCTCGAGCTTTGCTAACGAAGCTGTTGGAGAGTTGGTCGACTGTATGACAAAGCCACGCTACTCTCGCAAGCTCGTGATTGTTCTAGCTGGCTACTCGGATGATATGGATAGGCTACTTCATATGAATACGGGTTTACGGTCTCGGTTCCCCACCGATATTGTCTTTCCATCGATGAGCCCAGCTCACTGCCTTGAATATCTTGAAGTGCAGCTAGGGAAGCTCCAGATAAGAGTGGATCGAAGCCCTACCATGAGTGAATGGGAAGATTCAACTGTTCGGAACCTGTTTGCCCAGTTGCAAAAGACAAGGTCTTGGGCAAATGCCCGGGATGTTGAAACACTGGCACGCAATATCGTTTTCGAGGTGTACAAGAGTCAACGGGGCACCAGTGACTCCGACCTCAGCGTTTCTATGAACGATATAATGAACTGTCTAGATGACATGCTAGACCAGCGCGGCCAGTCTTCTGAATGAACGCCCTCTGACGCGCGGGGCTGTCTGACGCTTAGCTCACAGGTTGTTTATTGAGATTGGTATCATATTTTTTGGGTTGCTTTGGTTATTGATACTTGGTAGCTTGCATTTATATAGCTCAGGTGCATTTAGACATGCTTTAGTCTGTTCCAACCTCAGCACTCTGTTGTTAATGCTATATAGAGGGATAATATTTCACTAAGCATTCCCTGCGTGGTCCCTTTTATAGTTCATGACAGTGAACTATCATAAGATAAAAGAAGTTGCGCTTCACGTTCTCCTTTAACCATATGCATAAAGAAGTTTGTATTCTCGATTCCTGGTAAGAACAATACAGGAAAGATAATAATGTCTGTCAAATAGCAGTCGCTTACAAACTCTAGAAGTGCTACGGAAAAAGAAAAATTAGAAATTCGATAGATATAAGTAATTCTTTAAGATACTATGTTCTCCTCGGATGCAATTTCCGCGTAGTAGTAAATATATAACAATCGTATATAGATACAGATAGTTTTGAACTTCACAAGAAACCAGCCATAGTCCTATTGATAAGCCATTCAAAGGTACTTCAAAAGTACACTTACCAAAAGAAGACGGATAGATAGATATTCATAAATATATATGGGGAACATTCCGATCGGTTTGATGGGCCCGGGTCTTGCCTCTAGTAAATGCAGGATTTGGCAATATCACCAAGATCCGGACCCTGGTACATGACTACGCCTATAAAGGGGGTTTCATTGTTCTTTTTTTTTTTTTTTTTTTTTTTTTTTTTTTTGGGAAAAAATATGTTCAGCCAGAATCTTCATCGGTCTCATCAAGGATGTATTACCTCGGTCTTATAATGGCATAATAGACTAGGTATCCCCTGGCTTAGATAAAGAGGGCAACTGACATTTACCCAACACCGAAAGCTCACATTCTCAATCCTCGTCGGACAAAGACAATACATATATCAATATATCAAGTGCGGATTTCCTAACCTCATCGCCAACAATACCCCATTTGTCGATATAAAGCACTATGGTGAAAGAGTGTCTCGATTACGACATCGGCCGAATCCACTACATCGGACCGGACAAGCATCCCGAATTCACCGTGTACAAAGGCAACAAATACTTCAGGATAACCATCGGTGATGTGAGAAGATACCACAGATTCTACAAGAAATACAAAGCACGCCTCCGAAAATCAAATCACCCGTCGCACAGAGAGCTAAAGGATGCTAAGCACAGTGTCTACCGATGCATTTTGAGGTACTGCGGTGTGAATAAATTGGCCCCTCCAATCGATTATACCAAGATCCACATAGTCGAGGACTGCTTCAATAAGCTCGAAGCAGTTGGATGCTGTATAGACTGGACCAAGGAAGGTGGCTTCAGATTCAAGACACCAGAACCCATCAGCAACGAGGTTGAATTCAAAGGCATAGCCATCCCCGATGCCGTGGCGACTGGATATCCATGGCTTCCTGCATATAATCTCAGGGACATCACAGTTAAATTGGACCCTGATCCAAAATCCGTCATTCCTAAGAAGGTGTCTCTGGTTGAACAACCTAATGAGGCCCTCTACTTCAAGATGCTCACGGGAAGGGACAAATTGGATCTGATCTGCTCTTATAATGAGGTCGAGAGCTATACGAAGCTGTGGGACTCTGGGATTTACGATGAACCGCTTTTTTTAGGGGCTCGTGTTGTTGGTGTGGCGCAGGACTGCAGCAAAAAGGTGTTTGGTCTTCTTTTGTTGTACATCGAGGGTTCTACTCTCAGTGATGTGATGCGGGATGGACGACCGTTGCCGGATAAAGAACGCCGGGATAAATGGTATTGGCAGATCAAGAATAGTTTGAAGATTCTTCATCGGAGGGACTTGCTTTGGGGAGATCCTAAGGCTGATAATGTGCTCATTGATGTGAATGATGATGCTTGGTTGATTGGTTTTGGGAAAACCTGTACGCCCCCGTGGGTGGATAGGCGGGCAGATGGTACGCTTGAAGGGGATAAACAGGGAGTTAGGCGCTTGAAGAAGATACTGCTTTGAGGGTTTACAATAGAGGATTAGCTGAGGTGTAACCGAGCAAGATTGATATGCGCTGATCAACGAATTGCTTGAAGGAGATAGTAATCAAGATGTAATCCACCCACTACTTGACCCGCCGAGCCCCATCAACCCTTAACCATTGGCTATGTGAAAAATTACCTCAAAATAGCAAAGTAGCAAGACCTGAAGTTGGGCTTAAAGTGGGTCTGAGCATGATTGAGGGAATATGGCAGCACTCTGACATGATGTTACAAAAGAAGCATAGTCAGGCAACAAGGCCATAGTTAGTTAATGAGGCAGCAATCAATTTCATGACTAAGCACTCAAGGACCCGTCCAATCTTACAATATTAATCTGAAACAATCTGAACTTCAAACATCATGGGCTTCGTTGCACTATAGACTGTCTCATAACTACCCACAACAACCCGTCGTCCACTCTTCTGTCTGTTTCCCCGGTTCTATCTCCATTGCTTTCGTCGCATCCGTTGTCCTGGCCCCCGGACGCGCCACCACGACACGGTACTCGCCCCGGTCGCAAAACACCTTCCCCAGAAATGCCCCCAGGAAGATAGAGATGATCATGTACCCATTGTAGAACATGGCGATCAGCATGATAATGTACGCGAGCCCGAACTGCAGCGTGTGCAGTAGCGCCCGCGCCAACTGCTGCCAGGGACTGGCTCGGAAGGTAAGCACCGTTGGCCCGTGCTCCAGGCTGTCACCGCAGAAAAACTGCATGCGGTCCGATGTTGTTTGCGCTGCAACGTAGCGCTGGAATTGTCGTTGGAGATGGTCCTCGTATTGCTTGCTTAGGAGGCGGAGGAAGTCAAGTAAAACGACGAGAAAGGCGACTGCGATGCATGAGACGGCGAATTGGCCCGCCGTGTTGATGTGCCAGGTGGAGGAGAGGAAACCTGCAATTGTTAGGGCTGGATGGATCAGAGCTATACAGAGTACTAAGGATTCATACAGGCATCGATTGTGGTCCAATTCCATAACATCTGCCATGCTGATTAGTCATCAGATGTCAAGCAGAGGGTGAGACGACGTACGGTTACCGAGCAGGCGCTCGAATTGGAGCTGGACATGTCCATGTGCATGTCCATGGTGGTGATGGTGATGGTGATGGTGTTGCAGTTTGGGGACCAATGGAGAGGGGAATGGCACGGTCTACTTATACGAAGCGTGAAATGAGCAGATTATCACGTACGATGCTTGGCGATGAGCAGATATCGGCCTTGGCGACTCCACCGCGATGACTCCACATCCAATCCTGAGGATATAGAAATGGCCACTGCCACCGGCTCGAGCACACCTGCAAATTTTATCCCATCTACATTTCCTCCACCATGGGGCATATTCAGGACTTCTCCCAGGATTCCGCCATGGAATACCACTGGGGGTATGTTGCCCGCCAGGTCCCCTGCACCAAAGATGCCGGTACCTGCGCCTATTTGGACGCGGTTTACCATGGCCACGATGTCAGCATGCTCTACAGCTTCATTCTGTGGGCGGTGGTCGTGGGTATTTTGTTCCTATGGGCGTTGGGAGGACGCCTCGTTCGGTTTGATCGATCTGTAGCCAGGACCTCGCCCAAGCCCATCCGCCAGAGTGCTCCCTACCGTCTTTCGCGGACGATCCAGGCGCTTGTCCGGCGACATCTGCTTCCGGAAACCTTGCCCTGGGTGTTTGGACATACCACACGTCTGCAAGTCCTCATATTCCTAGTTATCTCCGGGTATCTGTTGGTATTCACCCTGGTGGGCATCACCTACAAGACCTGGGTCACTCCCATTAGCGGCAGTTCGCTCAACAACACGCGCAGTGGATTGGGTCCGTGGGCGGACCGCATAGGTGTGCTGGCGTTCGCCCTCACTCCATTGTCCATCCTGCTCTCCAGCCGGGAATCATTGCTTTCGCTGATTACCGGCGTTCCATACCATCACTTCAACTTCCTCCACCGCTGGCTGGGATGGGTGATCTACATTCAGTCGGCCATGCACACCATCGGCTGGACCATCGTTGAGGGAAAGCTCTACCAGCCGCAGCCCGCGCAGTGGAATAGCTTCATCACGCAGCCGTACATCATCTGGGGCATCGTGGCCATGATCCTGCTCTCCTTCCTGGTCTTCCACAGCACTAAGCGCGGCATTCAGCTGACGGGCTACGAGTTCTTCCGCAAGGCCCACTACGTAGTCGCCATGGTCTATGTCGGGGCCTGCTGGGCGCATTGGTCACACCTGTACTGCTGGATGCTGGCCTCGCTGGTAGTCTGGTTCCTGGACCGGGGGATCCGCCTCGTTCGCGTCTTCGTGCTGCATCATCTGAACGTTCCGACCACGACGTCGTCCACCACCGGAGGGTTGCACATTCCGCACGCTGCGATCCAGCTGCACCCCAACCCGGACGATGGCGATATCATCCGCCTTGACTTTCACCATAATCACGACCCCTGGCATATTGGCCAGCACTTCTTCCTCTGCTTCCCGCAGTTGAGTCTGTGGCAAGCCCACCCACTCACCCCCTGCAGCGTACCAGACACCTTACCCACCGGCCAGCCGCACACCTACATCATCCGCGCCCGGAAGGGACTGACGCGGGAACTCGCCCACCTCGCACGCATCTCGTCACAGACTTCTCAACCGAGTGACGGTGAGACCACCACGATGACGAGCGCCGGCCCCACAACCCCAGTGATTCTCTGTGGGCCTTACGGTCAGTCCATCATGGAGGAAACCACAACCGCTGGAAGCAGCAACCTCCTCTGCATTGCCGGCGGGACGGGCATCACCTTCGTGCTTCCCCCACTTCTCCATTTACTCAGCAACACATCCACTTCCAAGTCCCAACCGACGCAGATCCTCGAACTCATCTGGATCATCCGCCGCAAGGCCGACATGCAATGGATCGCCCCGGAGCTCGACATCCTGCAGCGCCTGGCATCCACCCATTCGAACATGTTCAGAGTTCGCATCTTCGTGACGCGGGAAACGGCGCCAGTCCCTGAGGTCTCCGACCTCGAGAAATCGCCCTGCTGTGCGGGGTCGAATGCGTCGTCGGACTCTGGGATTGCCGTGCAGTATACCCTCTCATCTGAAGACACTGCAGTCACTGGAACAGCGGCAGCGGCACACCATCACCCCGACCTTGAGGATATTGTCGAGGATTTCCTGGACCGGGTGATCGATGGTCCGACGCGGGTGCTCGCCAGCGGTCCGGCGGGGATGATTACCACGCTGCGGACGGCGGTGGCGGGGCGGAATCGACCGGGAAGGGTGTGGCGCGGGGAAGAGCGATGGGATGTGCAATTGGTGCATGATGACCGGGTAGAGTGGTGATGATGGTGTGTTGTCTTGTATATAGTTTTTTTGCAGATATGAATGTGATACCCAGCTGCTATTTTTCGAGTTGCATACGTTTTGGTGCAAAGAGTAGAGTATTGCTGTCCAGCTGATCTGAGCTAAGGTCCTGACTTTGGAAGTGCTCATATGATGAGAGTGAGCCCTAATGAAAGCATCCTAGCTACATACTGTGCCATGGTATGGGTCTAGTTAGTTGTTTATGGGAGTATAGTTTCTCATTGGTCGAAATTTAGATGAACTGCTACTAGTAGCCCTTATACTCGGGTATAGGCAAGGAGCATCTGGCTAGTCCAAATGCGCTAATTGGTTATGTTAAGCGAGGTTCTGGCCATCTCATGTCTCAAGTGATCGAGCCAATCAACCGTTGAATTTACCATGCATCACTAGCTGGTTTGTCCGTCGACGCTTAGCGTTCCGGGGATGATGCTGAACAGGGCTAGACAGGGGACTATTCGATGATAAGAGACAGTTATCTTTTGACTGTTGGACAATGCGAGCTGATATCACTGTCCATTAGATGAAGTTATTGATAAAATCATTCTACCAAGTTTCAATTTTTAAACTTAATGTACATCTGTATCATATATACACGGCTTGCGGGATCATGGAATATAGATTTCCCAACCATTAACAGAAAAGACACTGAACACCAAACTAATCCATTCGGCGGTAGGTCCCTGCATTTATAGTACATCATAAGCGATTTTCATACATGACCTTCAAAACTCAAAGCTTCTCCTGTGGTTGCTTAATTGTAGTAGGGTGAGTTATCACCACTTAACCAGATACTGTACAACAACAAATGTATTAACCCTACAATACATTCACCCGGGAAAACCCACGACAAATTCGAACAGTTAAACATCATTTACAAATAAATTCATCAATATATATCACCTAATCAACTACAGACCAGCTCCCAGCATAACTAAATAACTACATAGATAGCTAACCTCCACCCGCCTGGCCGTTCCCCGACCCGCCCTCCCGCCGAGCCCCATCAACCAACTAACTAACCGCATGCATGCATGCATCAACCATCCACCTCCACACCTCCCTTAACTGTTTAACACTTCATCCCATCCCATCCTCCCTACCATCAAAAAAAGAAATACCCCCAAAATGGACCCAGAACCACCCACAGCAGACCCCTCCAACCCCCCCGTAATCAACTACATTCTCTCCTTCCTTCTAGTCGGGGTAGCTTGGGGTTTCACCACCCCTTTCATCCGGCGCGCAGCCGCGGACTTTGCAGCCCGGCAGCAACAAAACCAGCAAGACGATACCAACAACATCACCACCAACAATGATGAAACCAATGTCCCCCTAACCCCTGTTTCCCCGGAATACACCGACGAAACACGCCCCGAGGATGCACGGGGAGAAGAAAGCGAGGAAGATAATCCTCCCCCAGCTAGCCACCAAGAACAGCAGCAACAGCAACATCAACCAGCATGGATGCAGCAGCAGAAACAGCAATCCTGGCTCCGCAAGAAAATCACCACGTTATTCTGGACAGTTGTTAATCTGCTTCGCACTCCTGCTTATTCGATTCCCCTGGTGGTGAATTTGACCGGGAGTGTGTGGTTCTTTTTGTTGGTGGGGAAGCATGGTATGTAAACCCTTTACATTGTTACCTTTTTATGGGTAGATATGTGGTATGGAGTATTTGTATATATACTAATGATGATATGTAGAGTTATCATTGACTGTCCCCCTCGCCAACTCCAGTGCGTTTCTGTTCACGGTGTTGGGCGAATGGTATGTTGAGAGGAAGGTCATTGAGCGGGAGACGTGGTTGGGGATGGCGTTGGTGTTGGGTGGGATTGCGGTTTGTGTTATGGCTTAGTTTTTTTTTTTTTTTTTCTTTTAACTAGCTAGTTATTTGATGGATTTGTAGGGGTATAGTGTAGTATAATATGTTGGTGTGATTGTTTGTATGTTGTTGATGGGGGATGAAAAAAAGAATCGCAAAAAGATGTGCATCATCCGTGAATCGAACACGGGCCTCATCGATGGCAACGATGAATTCTACCACTAGACCAATGATGCTGTTGTTATATTATGCTTTCCTTTTAATAATTGATATCACAAGGATAAATGGAGACTGAAATTGGGCTATGTGTTTGTCTTCTCCACGAAGTTACTTGGGCTTTACGTGTTAATGTTACGATCATCGTATAATGTCATATGTTACATAAACTAAAGAACTATCTATCATATCAACAACCGGGTATCCCGTTGCCCCGTGTATCATGAAACCATCATTGCTTGTCATCATCATACCATACCGAGCCTGCAGCGGTATGCTGTCTGTCTGTTTATCTGTCCATCTAAGCCGACTCATCGAACGCCAGATTAAACACCGCGGAACTAGTAGACCCTCGTTAGCTGAAACCACACCCTTAAGGTCTGGCAAACTTACCATCCGCACAGTCAAGAACCACATTGCTCCCATGAACTTGAAAAGTGACAATCCCGCCACACTCCACAGCACCACCGCCATGTAAATGGTGGCTCGCGTGTTCTCGGTCGTCTCCTGGTCGCTGCTGAACTCCTCCAGACCAGCCGCGCTGAGCACCACCGCGGCCAGGGCAAAGTTGCAAAACACCCACACCAACACGACCGCACTGCGGAATCCCTTGTAATAGTCGGCCTGGCGGTCTTCCTCGGAGACGGTGTTCTCCTCCTTGGGTGGCTTCGACGCGAATTTGACCAATTCGGCTTCGTATTGTGCGTTCAGATCGCCGTCGTCCTGCGGGATGTTGACGTCAACCTTGCCGCCGGGCTTGAGGTTTGCAGACGGCAGTTTCTCTGCCTTGTCGTCTCCCTTTGTACCCCATGTGATGTCGTGGGTGTTACAGAAGGCGTAGATGTTGAGCACATTGATGTAGGTCGGAGTGAGGAGAATGTATTGGATGAACTGTACGGGTTAGAAGATAGTGGCATCGGCAGTGCTGGGATACTTACGGAGGTAAACATGTGCCAAGGGTCCATGAAGATGAACGAGGCGAGGAACCACATCACATAGGTAGAGCCGAGCGACACGATAATCGAGAAGAACTGGTAGTTGGTGAAAAGATCCGAAAAGGTGAAACCGCTTTCCTGCACTTGTGATTGGATCGACTTCACGGTTACGAAAACCGCTGCGAATGCGAGGTATATCATGATACCAATCCAGAAATAGACCATCGTCATATAGAATTTGTTCGATCCACCAGGTCGGTTGCCCAGCGCCAGAACAAAGCAAGTTACCAACGTCGCGAGGTAGAGCCACTCGAATACCACGCCAAGCACTTTACCAACTGTGCCCAGCAGGTCGTCATCGCCCAGGTACTCTGTAAGAATATGAAAAACCAGGAAGAAATTGCCCTGTGTCTGTTAGTGACGTTTTGCCCGAAAGTGAGAAGCTACCTACAATGCCAAACCACGCGAACAGCATGTTGATGGTCTGATAGATGAACTCGATGAACAGCATGAACTTCCGCATAAAGCTATGGTCGCTTCGCCAGATCTGCCAGAAGTGCGCAATGGCATAAACTGCAGCGAAGAAACTACCGTTGAGCCAACGACGACGTTGAAGGATAAATTCGGCCATCCGGTCTGGGACATCGGTTTCACCATTGGCCGACTTAACGTATCGTAGCAGCCAGCGGCAGTTGCGCTTCGACACGATCTCGAAGCAAAGAATACGATCCTCGGCCAGGTACATGTTTGCCGTGAAAATACCGGCATTGGCACCATGCATCTTCTCTCCGAGGAAATACCGTTCCAGCGGACCTTGTCCGTTCTTGTCGTTCTGCAGCGCGACGTATCGGTACGCAGAGAAGGCACCCGGAAGGACAGTAATGAAACCGAATGCCGACTCCAGAGGCTTATCGAGGATGTTACTGAGCTTGTACTCGAAGTTCTGCCCGGCTACCAGCGGGTTGAGCAACTTCTTTCCATGCGACAACATGACCTTGATCTCACCACAAGCACCTCCACACATCGGGTCAACATCGAAGGCCTTCCATAGATGGTAGATCGAGTCCTTTCCAGGCCGCGTACCCGCGTCCAACAAAACACAGATGTTCGGATCCAGCACGCGTCCAAATGCCTGGAAGAACCAACGGTGCGAGTTGATCTTCTTCTGGTTCTTTTCCTTCAGACAGAAGATCATCTGGACGGGGCAACCAGACCGAGGCTTGAGGCTAACCTGGCCTCCCTTCAATTCTAGTCCCACCTGCGTGGTATATTCATAGATATGTGCTGTGACATCCTTGCCGTTGACTTGCTGCTTGGCAATACCATCCTGATAGCATCCCAAACCAGCCAGGACAGCGCGCGTGCGCGGATTGATCTTCGCACGACCATCACTGATGACACACACCACAATCTTCTTCCATGCATCTTTGCCCCACGTCTTGCTTGATGTCCTGGAGCACATGTACTCAATGTTCTTGAACACACCAATCATCGTCCGAGCGAAGAGGAAATCATCCTCATTGTACATGGTGACCGCGATGAACAGCTCCGTGTGTCGAGGTTTGGCAAAAAGCTTCTGACGTAGGGTAAAACGCTCTTCGAAGAAGTCGGCCGGATCGCACGTGGCGGCAGAATAACGCATGTGCGTGAACTCATCTCGACCCGGGGGTTCGGCGTGAGGGACCTGACTGAGCAGGGCGGGCGCAATTGGGCAATCCAGCACGAGGTTACCGTTGAAGAGCTGCACCTCCTTGACGGTCTTCCATCGACGAACTGGCGCCGGACTAGGCGTAGGTGCGATTGTAGGCTCCTCTTCATACTCATCGGCATACGGATCCGGCCCGAATGGGTTGTCTGGTTGCAGGATAGGGACCCGATCATCGGTATATGATTGTTGATGCTCGGGATATTGCCCCAAGTCATAGTCTTCATGCGGCGTTACCGCCGGCTGGTAAGGTTGGGTATAGTAAGCGTCGTGATGCGCTTCTGGGTCAAGGGAGTATTCGTAACCAGGGTAGGCATGAGGGTGGTGATCTTCGTAGAGTTCGTTATGACCATAAGAGTTTGGGAGTCTCTCGACCGAATACTAGTTCAGGAGCATGGCAATTAGCATCATCATCATCATCATCATCATCATCATCCACAGCTCCAAGAACATCCGTACCGTTGGTTGTTCTGCCAGCCGATCGCTGGAGGGCATCTCCAGGTGTTCGCGAGGCGCATAGGGATTATCCGACAGCTGGTAGGCGTTTAATGGCCGGCCCGGTGACGGGGATCGAGCATCGAGATGGTGAGGATTCATCATGGGAGTGTGACTCTCTTCCTCCCCATAGGGGTCTCCTGCACTCGACGGTCAGTATAAACGCCCTATGCGGGATGCGCAATTGAAAATGAAATGGCGGTGCGACAATGACAGCACAACAGACACAAAAGGTCTGTAGCTCTCGCATGCAGATACGAGCAAATTCCCTCGTATAGTAAGGCTCGCTCCCGACACTAGGGTTTCAGGAGGGAAATTGATGCGGAGAAGGGAGCGAATGCGCAACAAGTCACGGCCGCGCAAGCTGTCCCAAGTAGACCAGCAGCGGAGAAATTATTAAGAACCTACCCAAGCGATTATAGGACATAATGGCCGATAGTGCGTCGGACAATTAAGCGTTCCAATAGACCAGCCCCCTTTGTGAATTCCTGGCTAAGGGGAGGGGGGAGAAATCGAGATTGGAGATTGCGCCAGGAGGGACTGGTGGAATGTGGGAATCGACGAGCGTTCAGGTCGCTGCGATAGCGCAGAGGCTCCGTCGCTGGCGGGAGTTTCAGATTCTGATAGGCGAGTCTGATTTATGGGGAAAATAAGGGACGGACGGGACAGGAGAAGGGAAGAGGAGAGGGGAAATGAAGAATAATCAAAGTAATAAACGGGGGTTCAAAATGTCAGAGAGAAAGAATGGTTGAACCGATCTTTTGGCAGACGACAGCTTTTTTGGGCCGTGGGCTTTGCTCGTGACGGCGGTTCGGCCTTGTCGCCGCAGCGCCACGGACAGGAACACTAATATTTGATTTAACTAATACTAGTAACTAACACAACACTGCAGGATTGAGGGTGGAAAAAGTTGAAGCCCGTTGACCAAGGAACCGCGGGGACGATCAATGACGACGAGCAGATTGGGATAGATTGAAGAGTCTAGTGAAGTGGATTCGCACTCTGACTTGCCTTTATTGGGTCATCCCGACCGAAGTTGGGGGTCATAATCATAACAAAAGAATGTGAGTCTCCACTCGCCTTTTCTACAGGCACCCACGAGGCACTCTGCGGCTTTGCTATCGCATGATTCTTCTTGATAATCTGTTATAGGATTGATGGACTAGACTACATGTTATCTCAATTTTCATGGAGTACCCGAGTCCCACTAGAACCTCACAACACAATTGTCCGACTGTCCTTCCCCTGAAACAATCCGCCCAAACACCCATGGATACTGAGTTTTGGCTCCATGGCTCATCGGATCTCCACTTTTATCACTGGGCCAACAGCTGATCGGCCCTCAAGTGTCACAGCCACGGGCTGCGTGGCGGTGTCCGACATTGTGCGCGTTGAACACGTTAGACAATAGGGGTTCAATGGTCGCACTTACGGTTCATGTTCTTTTTATAACCTGCAGTCAGCTTGGCTGTCTCTGACGGGGTGGAAGAAAAGCAGCTGCCTGGTTGCATCTCGGATCATACAGCCCTGCGCGACGTCATAGTCCGCGGAGGGTCTCACCTTAAATTCATCGGACTAAGAATAGTCTGGTTAGACTATACTGTGGATATTAAGAGCACTGTGATTATGGTGGATTGACAAGTCATGTTATTTGCCTTCGACGGCACAGATACGCGGACACATCGCAATGCTTGATCACCTTGTAGATGCTGCCTAAATGTTTCTCTACTTCGTACTATTGTGTAATGAATGGTAGATAACCGGTGCGCTAATATTCCTAGGTAGAAAGAGATAAAGTACGATATCTGCGCGTTGCAAACAAACTAGCACAGTTAGGTCTCTGTGATGAACAATTAATTCAACTCAATATACTTTTAGCACTCCGGCAAATCGATAGCATGTGACTATAACATACCCCGATCCGGCACCTTTTTCTTTTATCAGCATTTGTAGCTGCTGTGCTAGCTCGTTTCTACTAAACTTTTGTAGTTCATTCACGACACGTCTGTCTATTTTTTTTTTTTTTTTTTAGCGCGCATTAGACTGCATATGCAGACAAATATGCACCAAGGCAAAGGAACGCCAAAGCCAAACTGGATGTGGGAGGAATGTGTCCCAACATAATCACAATGCGCCGTCGCCTCAGGAATCAGGCACGGACTACCGCCCTCCGCTATCGATAAAGATTCTGCGCCGAATCCCCGCCACCATCAATAATCAATCACCACTATTCAATCAAACTTTCTTTACAATCACTCAACACTCATTCATCATTCATTCAAGCCATAGATTTCTCAATAGACACTCTTAAAGCATATAATCACAATGACCGTCACAGACTCCACCCCCGCTGGCCGGCAAGTCAATGTCCTCTTCGTCTGTCTCGGCAACATCTGTACGTCCTGGTCTCCCCGCATTATCGTGAACTGCACCGCAAGCTAACCCAACCACCCAGGCCGTTCGCCCATGGCAGAAGGGGTTTTCCGCAACGTCGCAGCCTCCCATCCTCTAATCAATGAAATCGATTCCGCCGGCACAGGTGCCTACCACGCCGGCGAAGATCCCGATTCTCGCACCATGTCCACGCTCCGTCGCCACAACATCCGTAATTACAATCATGCCGCCCGCAAAGTCACCAAGCAGGACTTCCTCGACTTTGACTACCTCCTCGCGATGGACAAGTATAACCTGCGCGATCTGTTGGATGTTCGCGAGTCGGTCCTGGCATCGATGAACAAGTCTGGCCCCGCATCGCGTGGCACCAAGGGTACCCGGGCAGCGACTGCGGCATCCCTTGCCGCGAGCGGGGAAGCAGGCGCCAAGGTTGCGGAGGTCCGTCTGTTCGGTGACTTTGGTACCGGTGGTGTCGTGCACGAGCGCGTCGGCGGAGGTGAGGTTGTTCAGGATCCCTACTATGGTGGGGTCAACGGCTTCGAGGAGGTCTACCAGCAGGTGACGCGGTTCTCGAAGAGCTTTTTGGAGTACTTGGAAAAGAAGCAGGGCCCGGAGTCGGAGAATTAAGTTGATGGGGTTACAGAGAGCTTGGCTTTCATAGAGTGCGCTGTGCGATAGAAGCACCCGGGCGCGTTTGGTTGTAGATACCCAGTTATAGACTCGCTGAGCGAATAGTCAGGCCTTTACATGAGGTTATATAAGTGTGACAAACCAAGATAATAATAGTACAGCTTTTATCGTACATTTACAGATTTTGACCTTCGTGCTATAAGGCACCCCATAGTGTACTCACACCCTTTCGCTTATTTTGATGGCAGCTTTGCATCCGTAGCGGATGACATTAACCAGCGGATCGTACGGACGGGCTTCCTTCGCGTCGTTTTCGACAGCATGGTCCAGATGCTCAAGCTCCTCATCGCGAATCCTTCGGAAAGTTGCCAGCATTTCCTCCAATTCTTCATCCAACTCCTCCCCCCGACTTTCAGCCTCCGCCTTCCAGGATAGGATCTCCCGCACTTGATCATTATAGTGAGACCCAATCTCGGTCTCTACAGCTTCCGTACAGGCCATTGCTGCCTCACGTCCCATCATTCCGGTAGACCAGCCCAGGAACGTTGCTGCGACCTCCCATACCGGATACATAGCCGTCGGTCGTACTCGGTGTTTCGCAATGAGATGGTTGAATGTGTCAAAGTGCCCGGCTTCCTGGTCGTACATGTGCTTCATCAACGGCCGTAGGTGAGGATGAGAGCGCACGACTTGTGGTGTTTGCGCCGTGTAGATCAAGGTGGCCGCTAGCTCGCCGGCTTGGTTGACGCGGAGGGCTCGGTCGAGAAACTCGCGTTGTTGCTGATTAAGAACATATTTCGGTTTCGATGATCCGGATGTCTGCTGTGACACGGAGGGATTCGCTGTGGACTGCCGTGTAGCTGTAGAATTGTACTGGCGACAGGTTTGTAAAGTGGAAGGCGCGAGAAAGTCGAGGACGGCGGGAGGTGTTGGCCGAAGGGAAGGGGCCAGCGGAGCCCTGCGGAGCAAGCTGAGGGCCTTCATAATAAAGATAAATTATCCAATGGTCAATTGGAAGGCCGTTCAAGCTTCAGGGCGAGGTTTAAGGCCGCAGAGGAATGCCAGCAGCAGCCATGAGTTCCGAGGTGGTCCAACCCGATCGATAAGCCGCAGCCGCGCGCTTACACGCCTTGGCACGCCATCCCTGGACCGGAACGTCATGAACGAGCGTCGAGAATCGCTCCAATCGCTTCTTTTCACTTCCCGGCTCTGCTCTTTCACTTCACTAACCACCTTCGCCTTCACCACACCGCCCCCCCAACAGGATTCACTGCTTCACTGCCTCCTCCGTTCATTATTTCGACACGCGACCCTATTAATACTAGTCTGTGAGAGTGTTCACCACTATTATTATAGAGCGACCCCGTCCGAGTCAGCGCTCTCTGGCCACCTAACTCCCTTTTCACTCGGCGCGACTGCGGTTCAGGTGGCATCTGTTACCCTGGAAGCCATCCATTTTCCTGCTGGCGGCTTCCTTCCCTGACCAGTCTAGCGCCGCTTGCCTTGTTACTGGTGTTACTAGGACCTGATTTCCAAGGCAACCTCTACCATCATTCACTATGGCTGACGACCTCGATGCCGAACTTCTCGCTCTTGCGGGAGACTCCTCCGATGAGGAAGCATCCCCCCCTGCCAAGGAGAGAGTCCAATCTCGCAGTCGATCATCATCCCCTCAGTCTCCCGACGCATCGGCTATGGGTCGCAAAGGCACTGCTAGGACCGTGAAACGGGGCCGGAAGTCGAGAAGAAACGACGATGAAGAGGATGGCGAACTGTATGTTTTGTTTGCCACGCGTGTTTGCGATGCCGCTTTTTGTGGTCATCACTGCGACTCGCAGACTCGGCTAATATAGTACTCTCTATAGGTCCGCTGCTGAATCGCTCGACTCTGCTAGCATGTCCGAATCGGATTCAGGATCGGATTCTGAAGGCTCAGCCCCTGAGGCTGAAGATGAAGGCCCTATCTTCCCTTACGAGAAATTATACTACTCTGCTAAGGACAAGGAGGAAATCATGGCGATGCCCGAGATTCAACGAGAGCAGCTCCTCTCCGAGCGTGCGCAGGAGGTTGATCGTCATAATCAAGATCTTGCTCTTCGTCGTCTTCTGGCTTCCCGTGAGCGCGAGGAGGCTCGCAAAGCCAAAAAGAACAAACGAAAGGCCAGTGTGGCAAATCTTGATGAGGGCAACCGCAAGAGTTCGCGTCAGAAGATGACGCTTGGTGGCCGTAAAGTGGGAGAGACCTCCGATGCTATTGAAGCTTACAAGCGGCAACGAGAGCAGAAGGGGAAGCGTGACGAGCTCCGCCGTCGTGAACCAGTCAAGGAGAAAGCCCGTTCCCGCGATGACCGGATCTCCGACGAAGACGCAGAAGGCGAGAGTGAAGTCGAATGGGATGACAGGGAGCGCTCACCGTCTCCTCCGAAGGACGACCCGCCTGCTGAATTGCGGGATATCCAACGCACTCGGGTGGGTCGGACCAACTTTGCCCAGGTCTGCTTCTATCCTGGGTTTGATGACGCTATCTCCGGCTGCTATGCCCGTGTTAATATTGGGCCGAACCGTGAGACCGGCCAGAACGAGTATCGTCTTTGCTTGATTAAGAGTAGGGAAAACCTCTTACGTTCGCGTTAAATTGTTCGTCGCTGACTTGTTCAGGATTTTCCGAGGGAAAGCCTTATGCGATGGAGGGCCAAAATGGCCGGTCATTCGTGACGAATCAATATGCTGTGTTAGCACATGGAAAGGCTGAGCGCGAGTTTCCTTTTGTTGCATGCTCCGACTCTCCGTTTACAGAGGTAAGCTATTTGGCACGTCTCTGTGTTAGCATATACTGATACACTTTAGGCGGAGTTCAACCGGTATCGTCAAACCATGGCCGTCGAAGACTGCAAGATGGCTACAAAGTCAATGGTTGCCAACAAAGTCACGGATATCAATCGGTTGCTGAACCACAAGTTCACCAACGAGGAATTGAACGAGAAGCTACGCAAGCAAGGTTCGTTGGATACGAAGTACAAGTTCTTCAAGCGCGTGGATATCGAGAAGCAGCTGAAGCTTGCTCGAGAAGCTGGCGATGATGCGGAAATGGAGCGGCTGGAGGCTGAGTTGGCCAGCATGGCGACACCGAAGCTCGCAGTTGGCAGCAATCCCAAGCCGCGCGTGGACAAGCCCTCGGAACATGAACGCCTTGCTGAGCTGAACATACGCAACCAGAAGCTCAATATCGAGAACGTGCGCCGGGCGCAGATAGAAGAGCGCAAGGCCAGCCGTAAAGCGGCTGCAGCTGTTGCTCGTGGAGAAGCCGCCCACAACCCGTTCATGCGCGTTAGAACCCAAGCGCGGACTCATTACGACGTCAATGGCAACGGCACCCCCACTGAGAATAACGCGAGCCAAGATAATACTGCCTCGGAGACACCGTCTAAAGCGAGCACACCGGCCAGCGGTACCCCGGCGGGATCCCAGAAGAAAACCAGCAAAAGTGGCGTTGCCTCCATCCGGCACCGGAACATGGATGATGAAAACATTGCGGCCTTGGATTTGGAGCTCGACATTGAAATTTGATCTTGGATGAGGGAAAAGAAATTTGGACACATCTAGCACACCACTAGCATCCTACATACAGCATATACGATCTTGCCGACGGCTTCTGATGGAAATGGCACGATTTTGTTATTCGGGAAGCATTTGAGACAGCGTCGGATTCCAGGGGCCGGTGTTTATTGGCGTAACGAGAAACATAACATGGGCGCTGTACGATAAGAATATAAAGCACCTTTATGAATTGGCTTCACCAGTTGTACAAATCTACGCTTTTCTTCGCAGCTTCTATACCTCCGCAATAGTCCATAGCAATCCTTACGGGGTAGATTGTGGCCGATAACGCGGCTTATCGGCCGATCACGTGCGATAGCAACGCGTGCGCGGCGCGTCCATTACTTACTATATTCTACTATCCCGACTAGTAATTACCACCCCCGTAGATTCTCCGCCCTTGCATTCCTCCCACTGTGGACACCACCGTGCACATCTCCATTGACCTCGAATCCATAGTCCAAAATACCCATAGACATGACCTCTACCAATACACCAAACTAATACCTACCTACACCCAACCCAAAAGATACCCCAACCTCGAATCAAAAATGTCATCCACACCCTCCACACCGCGCACGACGCGCACCGCGTCTCGCGCAAACTCCCCGGACGCCGCCAACGACGACAACATGATACTCACACCCGGACGAAAAATCAAAGCCATGATGGCAGCCTTCGACAGCGACTCCGAATCAGAAAATAATGTACAAGCACAACAGAAACCCGATCGATCTACCACTACGCTAAGCAATGCGTTGAAACACAGCACTATCTCCACACAGCCTACGAACCCAGCCGATTCGGACGATGACGACTCGGAAGATGATGAGGATATTGTCATGCCGAAGGGGCGCATGGCTGCGCGGTTACAGGGCCAGGCTCAGAATCAGTCTGAGGGGCAGACGGCCTTTGAACGGGTTTCGAAGACGTTGCGGACGGAGAAGAAAGATGATGATGATGTGGTTATGGATGATGAGGATGAGGATGAGGATGATCTTCCTACGGCTGGACCAAGGAGGAGAGGGAGGAATACTACTGATTTGGATCCGGAGGTAGAGATGGATCGGGCGCCGTCTCCGGCGCGCTCGGAGTCGCCTTTGTTTGTCTCGTCTCCTGGGAGGGATAAGGATGATGAAGATGATGAAGATGAAGCACGGTCGGGTAATGAGGAAGAGGCGCAGCCGGAGGCTAATTCTCGGTTCCTGGCGTTAGTTGCTCAGAAGCGCAAGGAGAGGGAGGAGAAGGAGAAGGCCGAGGCTGAGAAGAGAGCGGCGAGAGCCAAGCAACAAGAACAGTTCAGTTCGGAGATTCTCTCTGGTAGTGAGAGCGAGGGCGAGAATGGGTCTGGACGGAAGTTGACGCAGCAGGCGTCGCGTCCTGCGAGAAAGGCGAGCAAGAAGGCTCTGGAGGAGATGAATCGCGAGACGCAGCGGATGAGTCGTAATATGCAGTTGGCGCATCAGGCTCAGACGAAGAAGAAGATTACGAAAGAGAGCTTTTTCGCTCGGTTTAATGCGGTCAAGGCTGATGAGCGGACTGCGCCTGGGGCGTCGGGGGAGAACTCGTCCACAACTGCTGATTCGTTGAACTCGTCTGATGCTGAGGCGCAGAAGGAAAAGGAGACTCCGCGTACTTCGCCTGTCCTTGGTCCGGTCGAGAAGGAAGCCGGCGAGGGTTTGGGCAAAGAGGCGGAGACTGATTTCCGTCCGTTGGAGGATATTCTTGAGAATCCACGTCCGCAGCCTGAACAACCTGTTGTAGCGAGGATGGAGATCGATGAAGTGCGTACCGCACAACCTGGAAAGACACCTTCCAAGAAGGAGAGAAAGGAATTATCGGGCCCACCTGTTCGTGTGCGTCTCACGCGAGAGGAGGTCGCCCGGCAACAGAAGGACGATTCGGACAGTGAGCTCGAGATTGTCACCTCCCCCGCCAAGTGTCGACGTATTGCAGCGTTCGAGAATGTCCCCGCCAGAAAGGCTCAGGAACCGGCGTCTATGATGAAGCTGAAAGCCCTGGCGCACATTACGTCTCCTACACGCAAATCCGCCATGCACCCTGCCCAATTGTCCGCCACGGTACTGTTGAAAGCGAAGCAACAAGCTGCAAGGGAAAGGCAGCAGAGAATCGAGGAACTGAAAGCTAAGGGTATCCATATCGAGACAGCCGAAGAACGCGCCGCCATGGAGGATGAGCTCGAGAACCTCGTTGAGAAGGCCAGGAAAGAGGCTGAAGATATCGCCAAGATAGAACGGAAAGCGGCCAAGGGTGGAGATGAAGACGACGAGGACTGGGACTACTCTGGTTCTGAGGAAGAAGCCGAGGAGGATGAGGATGAGGAAGAGAACGACGAAGACAAGCCTGCCGGTGAAGACGGACTTGTCGATTCCGAAGCAGGCGAAGGTGATGAATCAGAAGATGACCAGACG